GAGTGCAGTGGCGCGACCTTGACTCACTGCAACCTCCACCGCCTGGATTCAAGCAGTTCCCCAGCCTCAGCCTCCCAAGTAGCTGGTACTACAGGCGTGTGCCACCACATCCAGCTAATTTTTTGTGTTTTTTAGTAGAGACAGGGTTTTACTATGTTGGCCAGGCTGGTCTCGAACTCCTGACCTCAGGTGAGCCACCTGCCTCTGCCTCCCAAAGTTCTAGGATTGCCTAGAGTGCAATTTTAAGTGCAGTCTTTGTCTTTATCTTACTTCTGGTCAAAACGTTGTAGGACAGCTTCTCTTTTTCCCACTACCTTTTTCAGTGTTGTTATGCTATACAGGTGTAACATAGTTAGATTCATTTCTTACTGTCTGCATTCCATCTTAGGATGCCTCAATAGCCTGGTTGATATTTATACATATTTTTTTCTAATTTGATGTACATTGAAGTTCATTTTTTTTCCAGCAAAAATGAAGAAATGAAGTTCATTCTTTGTGATTTTTACAGTTCTGTGGGATTTATCAAATGTATAGAGTTACGTATTAGCCATTACAGTACCATACAGAACAGTTACTTCACCCTAAAATTTCCCTAAGCCTACACTTTGTTGTTAATTACTCTTTCCCCAAGCCCCCAGCAACCTTTAATTTGCTTTTTATTTCTATAGAAAAAATTGCACATATATATCCTTTGGGGTCTGGCTTATTTTGCTTAGTAATACATTTAAGATTCATCTATGTCTTTGGGTGTATCAGTTGTAATTCTCATTTGTCACTGAACTATCAATATACCATAAAATTTCTTTATATATTCTGGATATAAGTTCTTGATCAGATATATGATTGCAGATATTTTCTCTCCTCAATCTGTGGCTTGTCTTTTCATTCTCTTATTTATTTTTTTTTTTTTTGTAGAGAAAAATATCTAACTTTGATAAAGTCCAATTTTTTAAAAAATGTATTGTGGTTTTGGTGTTGTATGAAAAAACTTATCACCACATTTCAAGTTCATGAAGTTTTTTTCCTAATTTTTTAGAAGTTTTATAGTTTTATGTTTTTACTTTATTATTAATTTTTTTGTAGAGATGCAGTCTTACTAAATCACCCAGACTGGTCTTGAATTCCTGGCCTTAGGCTATCCGCCCACTTTTAGCCTCCTAAAGTGTTGGGATTACAGGCATGAGCCACCAGGCCTGGTCATAGTTTTACATTTAGATGTGTGATCCATTTTGAGTTAATTTTACCTAAGGTTTGAATAGGTGTAATTTTTTTTTTTTTTTTTTTGTATATGGACGTTTAATTGGTCTATTTACATGGTCCAGCACCATTTGTTGACTATTTTTTCTCCACGGAGTTACCTTTGCCTCTTTGTTAAGTCTTGATTTTAAGTAGTATTTTGTCTTACTAATCTTTGAAATCTTATAAATTAAAGCTTTGATTTTATTTAGTAATACACATTATCACAATTTTTTCCCTACCAGTTTCTCCTAAGTCCACTGTCTATCCAATCTTCAATGCATCTTCAGTCAGTTCAAAAAGGTGAGAATTGTTATTGTTTTAAAGTCTAAGCCTTATAAATCATCGGTCCTTTGGGTCTCTTTTTTAGTTTCATGCTACTTAATTTGGGGAGGTTTTTTTTCTTCCTCACTAAGGGGAATAGGAGACTAATTTTGAGAATAGAGCAATGAAATCAGTCCCTCATAGAAACATCATAAAAACTTGAGATGGAAAACTTCCTCATAGGCTTGACTAATCATCATTGCTAACATTATTGTATAATACCTGACTCAAAATAAGTAGTTTTTATATCTGTTATCTCAATTATCACAACAGCTTAGAAGGTAGACACTGTTATTCTATTTTCAGCCTAAGAAACTGTTAGTAATTGAGCCACAGTTGCACAGCTATTAGGGGCTAGGATCGGGACTAGAATCTGTATCTGAACCAAATGTCCATTAGGTTATATTGCCTTCCTTGGGTGAAAGTATACTAATCATAGCTAAAACTTAATAAGCATTTACAACTTGATGATGTAGGCACCATTACCCCATTTTGTAGATGAGGGATCTGGCTGCAGGAATAAGTAACTTGCAGCAGTTTAACATTACCATAAGGTATAGCTGAAGCTACCAGTATCCTATTCAAAGCTAAAGACTGTGATGGGGGAGGCATCAGAGCTCTGAAAAAGTAGTTTCTTAGAGTCTAAACATCCTCTTCCTAATTAGCTTTGATCTTTCTCTCCCCATTTGGTTATAAATAACTTCATATATTAAGCACGGAACTTCCTGGCTACATTACATTACTCTCAGAGAACATCACCTTAAATTGCCTCAGTGATTAGGTTGGGTGGGCAGCTTTTCTCTTCAAAGGTTGGTTTCTAGTTTTTCTCACCTTCCCATTTCTTGCCTGTGTTATCATCTTTCATGACCTTTTATTGAAGATGGGAGCTGCACAGAATACCATGGACTAGGTAATTTATAATGAACTGAAATTTATTTGACTCACAGTTCTAAAGGCTAAGAAGTTCAGCATCAAGCAGCCACATCTGGTGGGTGCCTTCTTGCTGCATGATCCCGTGGCAGAAAGCAGAAGAACAAGAGAGTGTTCATGACAGAACAAGAGAGCTTGGTTTGCAGTCTCACATCCTTCAATAATCAACATTAATCCATTTATGAAGGTGGAACCATCATGAGCTAACACCTCCCAAAACTTGTTACAGTGGAGATTAAGTTTTCACACATGAACTTTGGGGGACGTGTTCAAACCACAGCAGAAGCCTTCCACAATTAACTGATAAAAGTGTATACTAATTTAGTCTAGCATAAAGAGACAGGCCGGGCATGGTGGCTCACACCTGTAATCCCAGCACTTTGGGCGGCCGAGGCTGGTGGATCACCTGAGGTCAGAAGTTCAAGACTAGCCTGGCCAACTTGGTGAAACCTCATCTTTACTAAAAATACAAAAATTAGCTGGGCATGATGGGACTCACCTGTAATCCCAGGTACTCGGGAGGCTGAGACAGGAGAAGAGCTTGAACTCACAAGACGGAGGTTGCAGTGAGCCAGGAGCATGCCACTGTACTCCAGTCTGGGCGACTGAGCAAGACTCTATCTCAAAAAAAAAAAAAAGACAGTGGGATGCTATTTGTTAAATAATATGAAATTGCTCTTTTTGTAGACTCCAAAACATCAGGTATCAGCAATTTCTTGAAATTTAATCTGTTCAGGTAGATTACAGATTCTCAAAGTGCTTAGTCTCACATTTGTTTTTTGGTTTTTAAGGCTCATTCAGTGAACATTTAGAGAGTATTTATCATGTACTTTTGAAACTATACTGAACCCTAGAGATATGAAGATAATTAATGTGGTCTTGCTATCAAGGAGGTTATGGTTAGAGGAGGGTATACATTTAAACAAGTATAGTTTAGTATTACAATTGCTAAAATGGAAGCAAAGAGATGGCTGTCACACATGCAGGGTCAGGGAAAGCTGAGTTACTTAGCAAAGGCTGCATAAGGTGAAAAGGGTCAGTGACTTGGACAAGTCTTTTTCATACTGCAGGTAGCAGCCCTTTAGTAGTTTTCTTAGATAAGTTTAGGATGTCATATCTAGCATTTATTTTTAATGGAATAGTGTATCTCTCACATAGCAAGTATATTTAGTGACACTTTGGTTTTATGTTTGTACTAGTCATGATGTAAAATGTATTTCTTAGTATAGATTTGTCAAGTCAATTTGGAAACTACTTTTCAGATAAATGGTAATAAGGCAGCTTGACTTAGCTTAATGCAACAAAGCATTAGCTTTATTTTTTTTTCCACTTTTTTTTTCCCCCCTACTTTATTTTGTCAGGTTTTTTTTTCCTATTGTTTTTACTTCTTTGGGCCCTAGGGTTTTTTTTTTTTTTTTTTGTTTGTTTTCCCCTTGCCTATTTGCTTCTACTTTCTAGGGATTTCTGTGCCTTCAGTCCCTGGAAAACCGAGGTCTTTTCATTACAAGGCAAGGGTTACAAACTCAGTACCTACAGAACCAGCAGGCTGGGTGAAAACTAGGGCCAGCTGAAGAATTGCCCTTGAGACAGAGTCTTGCTCTGTCATCAGGCAGGAGTGTAGTGGCACAATCATGGCTCACTGCGACCTCCGCCTCCCAGGTTCAAGAGATTTTCCTGCCTCAGCCTCCCAAGTAGCTGGGACTACAGGTGCGTGCCACCATGCCTGGCTAATTTTTATATTTTTGATAGAGTTTGGGTTTTACCATGTTGGCCAAGATGGTCTCGATCTCTTGACATCATGATCCGCCCACCTTGGCCTCCCAAAGTGCTGGAATGACAGGTGTGAGCCATTGTGCCCACCCCTCAATGTCTCTCTTAATATTGGAAATACACATTTTTAAGTGAAATCTCTAGATTATAAAATATTGGTAGCTAACCCAAAGTCTTAAATAACCATATGGGCCAACCAAAACATATCTGCTAGCTAGATTTGGGCTGAGGGGCACCAGTTTTCAACCTCTGTAAGTGAATCTCAACATTCTTTCCTAATAGTTAAAGGTTGTCTCAACTACATCTATCCAGCCTAAACATGTTTTTTTTTTCCCCTTTAATAATTTCAAAGTCGTGAGATGCTGCTTTTGGTGTGAGGAAAGGCAGATTTAGTAGCTGCTTTGCTCTGGTAAAATGTTGGCTAGGTTATAATATGGTGACTGATTGCCTGTGGATCTGTGAAGTTCAGTATTATACTTATTTCCTCTAGTAGCTCAGGAATTTCTTTATAGCTGTATAGGTAAATATAGTACTAAGATTTGATAAAAAAAAAACAAAAAAAAAACTTTTTTTAAAATGTGAAGTCATTTCCAAAATGTGAATCTGTGTGCATCTGATATTATAAAAGAAAGTCCCTAGGACTTGGAGTCAGAAGACTAGAATTTGAGTGTTAACACTGCTATTCACTAGTTACTTTACCTTGAGTAAATTACTGACCCTCTCTGAGTGGGCCTCAGGTTTCTTCTTGTTCCTGTCCCTATTATCTCATCAAGTTAATGTCAGATAGCACTAAAAATTGCAAGGTAGTCTGTTAAATGTTGTCTTTCTTTCCATTGTAATACCACAAACATTGTAAATTTATATGATATTTATCAATTTTCTGTGTCAAGATCTTTAGGTGAAGAACAGTCTTCTGTGGGATCTGTCAACTTCTTGAAACAGACCAATATTCAGAAAAATACTAATATCAGAGATACAAGTAAAAAAACAAAAGACCAGCTCGTCATTGTGAGTAAAGTCAAAACAAAGCTTCTCCTATCTAGCCCTTTACAGAAAAAGCTTGCCAGCTCCTGTATTAGACAATTCATAACTTGGTGTTTTTTGTTTTTTGCTTTTCATTTTTGAGATGAAGTCTCACTTTGTTGCCCAGGCCAGAGTTCAGTGACGTGATCTTGGCTTACTGTAACCTCTGCCTCCTAGGTTCAAGTGATTCTCCTGCCCCAGCCTCCTGAGTAGCTGGAACTACAGGCACGTGCCACCACACTCAGCTAATTTTGGTAGAGACAGCGTGTCACCATATTGGCCAGGCTGGTCTTGAACTCCTGACCTTGTGATCCACCCTCCTTGACCTCCTGAAGTGCTGGGATTACAAGTGTGAGCCACTACACCCAGCCCAGAACTTAGTATTTTCAATGGCATTAAGGAATGTTTTATGTGACAGAATGGGAATTGTAGGTGGTGATATTGAATATTCTTGAATTTAACTGTGATTTTCTGAACTTTATTTTTTGTTAACTCTTGGGTCAAATAACTTTAACACTCTTTAAGAATTAAAGAGTTTAATATTCCTAGCTGCTTAAGGAAAAATATTGTGTAATTAAAAGTCCTAAAGTTTTTGCCCTTCGTGTTTGAAATAAGGCTTTTTGAGGTCTTTGTTTCATTAAAAACTTCCATTTTTAATTTTAGCTAAATTTCCATGATTTAATCTTATACCTTCTTAGAACCATGGGTCTAGTAAAGAATCTTATAAAAATAAAAGCATCTGGTTTTTTACACTGTCCATTCCAATAAACAATTGCCTCTCATCAATTTGTTGCATTTTTAGGTATCTTCTCTTTCTTTTTTTCCTTCCCCAAAGAGGTAGAGTCCCACCTTGTTGCCCAGGCTGGTCTTGAACTTCTTGGCTCAAGTGATTGACCCACCTTAGCCTCCCAGAGTGCTGGGATTACAGGCGTGAGCCACCACACCTGGACTGACCTCTTCTCATTTTATTTTGTCCTGGGGGTGGGAAGGAGGATATAGTGACCAGACTTTCATTTAGTTTTTTACTTGTCAGCAGAAAAAAATAAATAAGCTGAAATTTGAATGAATGATTATAGGAACTTAATTTAGAGCTACCTGTGCTATATTTAAATGGGCTTTTTTTTTTTTAATCCCCTATTATAGGACGCTGGTCAGAAACATTTTGGGGCCACTGTGTGTAAGTCTTGTGGCATGATATATACTGCTTCCAACCCTGAAGATGAAATGCAACATGTACAGCATCACCATAGATTTCTGGAAGGAATCAAATATGTGGTGAGCCAAAAGACAGTCTTTCAGTTTGTTCTAGAAGTAAAACTACTTTAAAGGAGACATTTCTTTTCCACCCGACCAGAATAGTTAACTTTTAAAGATGATGTTTCAAGCTTACTATCTCGATATAAGATAAATATTTTGTAAGCACTGCATTCTGAGAAGAGCTGAGCAGTCAAGAGATACAAACTTTAAAGACCTAAAGAGATCTCATTTTCTAGTATAGTGTCTTCTTTATAGATAGCTTTAGAAAAAATAGCCTTTCCATGACTTCTCCAGGTTTTTTCTGAGAGGAGAGTTCCCACCCATTTATTAAACACCTTTCAAATCCAAACACATCCTATCATTGGCCCTATCTTTATGATTGTACCTGCTACTCAGATACATTCTTTTTCCCTATTTTTATTGCTATAGTTAATACTTTCGCGATATTTTTAGCCTGTTTATAGAAACAGCTCGCTTTTTGGGTTCCCATAGTGCTACCAGAAATAATGTCTTAAAACATAAATCTAGTATGATTATACTTTTGGAAAGAAAAAGTTCCTGCCAGCAGTTTGGTACTGTTTAATCTGGCCTCAACCTTTCCTGTGTATGTGCACATAAAATATACGCTGGAGAAATTGTAGATGTGTATATTTAAATTCTTGCCCTCTCTGACCTGATTGTTCCATCAGCCAGAAAATTCTTTCTAAAACATACGTCCTGACATCATCTGCTTCAATTTGGACAGCTTTCTTTTGTACTAGGAATAAAACCCAGACTCCTTACCGTGGCCAGCAGATCTCTTCATATCTGGCTCCTGCCCACCTTGTAATATGACACATTCCTTCGCCAGTGCTAAGCTCCTGCTGCTGGAGTAAGCCGCATTCTCTGATGAAGCCAGAGTATTGTCTATACTGTATTGGAACCTCTGCCTCCCTGCAGCCTTTGCCTCCCAGGTTCAAGCAATTCTCATGCCTCAGCCTCCCTAGTAGCTGGGATTACAGTCATGAGCCACCACATTCAGCTAATTTTTGTATTTTTAGTAGAGACAGGTTTCACCATGTTGGCCAAGCTGGTCTTGAACTCCTGACCTCATGATGCGCTGACCTCAGCCTCCCAAAGTGTTGAGATTACAGGCGTGAGCCATTGCGCCCAGCCAGATTTCTTTCTTTTTTGTGGAAACATACTGAACATGTTATCCTTTATATATTTTGTATATTATTCTTGTCTTACAAATATATTCTGCCTGTCCCTTTTTTAAGTTTTAAATTTATGTTTTTGATATAGTAATATTTTCACGTTTCGAAATTCACAGGATATAAAAGTGTATCCAGTAAAGTGTTTCTCCATATCCCTTCCAGAAATCCCCTTAGCCCCTCTCTGCAGGTATCTATCATTAAAAAGTTCATCTATATATCTTTCAGAGATATTTTCTGCCTGTACAAGCAAATAGTATTACTTGGATTTTTTTTAACCTTTTTATGGTGTATATTGCTACAAAGAAAAGCAAATATTTAGGTAACTTGTGACCTCTGGATTTAAGTCAGGAACATCATCTCATTTCCAAAATTAGTAAAAAGTTTTTCCTATATTTAAAAAAACAGTTTTATAGCTATAAATTTTATGTTTAGAATTTTAATCCATTGGAAGTTTTTCAAGACATACTGTTAGAGATGGATCTTTCTATTTTTCCTAAAGGACTGCAAAGTGTGCCAACAGTACTGTTTGACTAGTTCATGTTCCACACTGATTAGCAATGCAACCTTTAGCGCATACCAAATTCTCTCATATAAATGGGTTTGTTATTGGACACTTTCACATCATCCATCTGTTCCTGTGCCAGTGCCATACTTTTACAAATGTAGCTTCATACTGTATTTGGATGCCTAGTTAGGTAAGTTCCCTTTCATCCTTTTCTGTAAAAAATGTCTTGACTTCTTGTGCACATTTACTCTTTCAAATAAAAAAAAATGAGCCTGTCAAGTGCCCCCCAGATAAAAAACTTACTAGAATTTTTATTGAAACTATAGTCAAACTGTCATTTTCTGTAGGGAAAAATATATTAGTATACCTTAGAAATTTAGTATAGTACATACTATAATGTAAACTTAGTATTTGCTGTATAAACTTAGTATATTCTTAGAAACTTAGTATGCCTCTGAGTCATATCTTTTATATCCTTAAGTAAAATTTTATAGTTTTGTCATGGATCTTGTTAAATTTATTTCTAATATTCCAATCTCATTTCTTCCAATCTTTAAGTCACTTACACCAGATTTTTTGCCACTCTCTACACTTGTGCTTATTCAGTTAGTTGCCTTAGCCTGAAGGCTGGTAATCACCTTCCCATTACTATACTCATTGACATTTTACCAAGGTTTTTAAACCCTTTTCAAGTCCCGTAATGCTTCAGTATCATTCAAACACTAGGGCCACATGCCCAGGCACCTTGCTTGGGATTGGGATTAAAGTAGTTGTAAGACTGAACCCATCTGTGGTCTTGTCAAGCATAAGGGACAGGCATATAAAGACTTTTATTTAGCCTTTTCTTGGAATTTGGCTTCTTATTCTAATGTCCCCTACCTGCCTGCTGGTCTCGAACTCCTTACCTCAAGTGAATCTGCCCACCTTGGCATCCCAAAGTGCTGGGATTACAGGCGTGAACCCAGCCCCTATACCTCATTTTATAATAGATCATATACATGTCTCCAGATAGGATGTCAGCTTATTGAGGGCAAGTACCTTGTCTTAGGCATCTTTTATTTCTCTTTCCACATTACTTTTAGTGGATTTCATCTTACCTTCTTTTATATCTGTTATTGTTTAGCCTTTAGTCTTCTCCACACCAAATTATTTAAGTTTGGTTTTTTTTTTCTCTTCACAAATTAAACAGTGACCCTTTTGTTTTCCTTTGGCAGGGTTGGAAGAAAGAACGTGTAGTAGCAGAGTTTTGGGATGGGAAAATCGTGTTGGTTCTGCCACGTGATCCAAGCTTTGCTATCAAAAAGGTATGGAACATTGTCTTTTTATTTCTTGCATTTCCCCAACCCCAAGAAATCAACCTATGTTGAAGTGTAAACTGCCTTTGCTGACAGATAATTTGCTTGGGCACGTGCTTAATGATTACTTGCATAGAAATTTATACAAAACTAAACTTAGAATTGTAGGAAAAGGATTAAAGAAGGCAGATAAGGCTCCACAGCTTATCTTTTATGTTCATATGTTCATCTTTCCCTTGTGAAAGGTAAACTAAGCTTTTCAGTGTTGAGAAATTAATGGCCCCTAGGGTCTATTTCTTATACTAGTGTGGCCTGTGTTTCTGAGGTTGGATGTTTAGCCACCGTGATCAATGAATAAAGCTAAAACAAATCTGTTTTAACGCTTCCTATTCTTTATCCTCCCAGGTGTCTGAATTTATGCTAAAAGTGATCTTTAAAGTAGGTTCTTAAAACCTTGTTTCCACAGTAGCAGCTACATGCATCAATAATGAAATAATTTTGAAGGTGTATAAATTTAAGAAATACAAATTTAAGGACTAAAGTAACAGTAATCATACATTTTGTGTATATAAATATGTATAGTTTCTATTGTACTTTTTAAAACATTCACCTATCTTGGTTTTTAAAATCATTAGGTAGAAGATGTCCAAGAACTTGTTGATAATGAATTGGGCTTCCAGCAAGTTGTTCCTAAATGTCCAAACAAAATAAAAACTTTTCTTTTTATATCTGATGAAAAGAGAGTAGTTGGGTGTTTAATTGCAGAACCCATCAAACAGGTATGTTATATTTCATTTAAATTATTGGCATAATTTGCAGGCAAAATAAAGAGAAAAGTTAGAAGTCTGTCAGCATTTAAGATTGCTATCGTTAATGACATTCTTTCTACTGATATATCCTTGACCATGTGGACAATTGAAGTTATTTATTTTTAATATTTGGAATTTTGCTTTATATAAACAGAATAGGTAAGCCAGTCTTAATTCGTGTAGTCATTTCCACAGCTGAACTATAAAGTATAGTGATTTTAAGTAAGCAGATCTATAGACTTAAGTTTTTAAAAATGTGGCTTAGTGAAGGTTAATATTTTTGGCAAAGTAGTCATTACTTATCCCTTAATTACATTCTAATTTAGGTACTAATTAGCAATTTTCTAGAAGACATATGGTTTCTCCTTGTGTTACTAGAAGTTGGGAGAGAGAAGCAGCCTGTTTGCATTTTTGCCAGTATAAGTGATCAATTTGGCCTTTTCCTTTCTTGTTAGCTTTATTAAGGTATAACTGACAAATAAAAATTGCAGTTATTTACAGTGTACAATGTGATATTTTGATACAGGTAGACATTGCAAAATGACTAAATCAAGCTAGCATATCTATCACCTCACATACTTATCAACTTACTGTGATGAGAACATTTAGATCTCTCCTAGCAATTTTTAAGCATATATTAGCTATAGTCATCATGCCGCACAATAGATCTGCAGAACTTATTCATCTTGAAACTTTGACTCTTTACCAACATTTCCCATTTCTCCCATCTCTCACTGCCCCAGCCTCTGGCAACCACCATTCTACTCTCTGCTCTCAAGTCAACTTTTGTAGATTACATATGTAAGTGAGATCTTGCACTATTTTTCTTTCTTGCCTAGCTAATTTCACTTAGCATAATGTCCTCCAGGTTCATTCATGTTGCAAATGTCAGGATTTCCTTTCTTGAGAGGCTGAATGGTATTCCATGTGTATATATACCACATTTTCTTTATTCATCCACTGATGGACACTTAGGTTGATTCTATGTCTTGGCTATGAATAATGCTGCCATGAACATGGGAGTACAGATTTCTCTTTGACATACTGATTTCAGTTCCTTTGTATATACACTCAGAAGTGAGATTGCTGCAAATGGTAGTTGTATTTTTATAGTAATTATTCTGACAGATGTGAGGTCCATTTCCCTGATGGATAGTCATGATGAGTGAGCATTTTTTCATGTCTGTTCTTCATTTTTACATCTTTTCAGAAATATCTATTCAAGTATTTGTTTTCTTGCTATTGAGTTATTTATGTATTTTGGATATGTATTCCCTGTTGTATATGCAAATATTTTTTTCCAATCAATCAGTAGGTTGGTTGATTTTCTTTCCCCACTTTGTGCTATGCAGAAACTTTTCAGTTTGACGTCACTTTTTTTTTATTCTTTTATTGCCAATGCTATTGGGATCATAGCCACATTATTGGCCCAAACCAATGTCAAGCTTTTTTCTTGTTTTTTTCATTATAGTTTTACAGTTTGAGGTCCCTCATTTTAAGTTTTTAATTCATTTTGAGTTGATTTTCCTATGTGGTGTAAGATAAGGCTCCAATTTTATTCTTCTGTTTTTGGATATTCATTTTTCCCAACATCATTTATCAAAGAGACTGCCCTTGCCCCATTGTTTGTTCTTGGCATGTTTGTCAGAGTCCAGTTGACACTAAATGCCTGATTTTATTTTATCTGTTTTGTGCCATTGATTGCTATGTCTGTTTTAATACCAGTAGGAGTGTAATGACCTTCAGCTTTACTCTTTTTGTCTAGATTACTTTGGCTATCTGTAATCTTTTATGGTTCTATAGGATGTTAGCACTCTTTTTGTATATTTTTGTGAAAAATGCTTTTGGAATTTTGAAAGGGATTATGTTGCATTTGTAGATTGCTTTGGGTAGTATGGACTTTTTAACAATATAAAATCTTCCAAGCCACGAACACTGGGTATCCTTCACTTTATGTGGACATTCTTCAGCTTCTTTCATCAGTGTTTTCTAGTTTTCAGTGTATGGATCTTTCACCTCCTTAGTTAAATTTATTCATAAGTGGTTTTTTTTAATGCTATTGTAAATGGATTGTCGTCTTGATTTCTTTTTTTAGTTTGTAGTTTGTTGTTCCTGTATAGAAATTCTACTGACTTTTTATGTTGATTTTGTATCCTTCACCTTTGCTGATTTTGTTTTTTCTGATAGTTATTTTGGTGGAGTCTTTCGGGTTTAAGTTCATGTCATTTGCAGACAGACTACTTAACTTTTTCCTTTCAATTTGAACACCTTTATTTCTTTTTTTTCTTCCTAATTGCTCTGGTGAGGAATTCCAGAACTATGTAGAGTAGAAATTATGAGAATTAGCACCGTTGTCTTGTTCCTGATCTAAGAGGAAAAGCTTTCAACTTTTCATTGCTTATATGATGTTAGCTGTGAGCTTGTGATATATGACCTTTAGTATATTGAGGTACATTCCATGTATATCTAATTTATTGAGAGTTTTTATCCTGAAAGGATGTCGAATGCCTTTTCTGTATTGAGATGTTTTGTCCCTCATTCTGTTAATACGATGTAGTACACTGATATGCATGTGTTGAGCCATCCTTGCATCAAGGGATAAAGTCCACTGGATCATGGTGTACTATTCTTTTAATGTGCTAGTTTGCACCTGTTTATCAGGGATATTGGGAGGTAACTTTTCTTGTAACATCCTTTTCTGGCTATCGAATTAATTCTGGCCTTGTAAAATGACTTTGAGGGTATTCTTCTTCAGTTTTTTGGAAGAGTTTGAGAAGGATTAGTATTCTTTAAATACCTGGTAGAATTTAACAGTGACATCATCACAGATGAGGCTTTCCTATGATGCAAGTTATTTTTTTAAATTGATCTCCTTTTTATTGGTTTGTTGAGATTTTCTCTTTCTTCATGATTTGATATAGGTAGGTTTTTATTCATCTATTTCTTAGAATTTATGTATTTCTTGTACATTACCTAATTTGTTGGTTTATAATTATTCATGGTCTCTTACGATCCTTTGTTCTTCTGTGATATCAGTTGTAATGTCTCCTCTTCTATTTGTGATTCTGTTGAGTCTTTTTTTCTTAGTCTAGCTAAAGGTTTGTCAATTTTATTACCTTTCAAAAGATAAATTTTGTTGATATTTTCTATTTTTCAAGCCCCCAGTTTATCTCCACTGATCTTTATTTTTTTCCTTCTACTGACTTTGGGCTTTATTCTTTTTCTAATTCTTTGAGTTGTAATGTTAGGTTATTTGAGATCTTTTTTATGTAGAACTGCTTTTGCTGCACCCCATTCGTTTTGGTATGTTGTGTTTCCATTTTCATTTGTCTCAAGAAATTTGTCAGTTTCCCTTTTCTTTGCTCTATTGGTTGTTCAGGAGCGTGTGGTTTAAGTTTCACATATTTGTCAGTTTTCCACTTTTTCTCCTGTCATTGATCTCTAATTTTATACTGTTGTGAAGGTTCTGTGTGCATTTCAAAAGAATGTGCATTCTGCTGCGAATGGATGAAATACTGTATGTATGTCTGTTAGGTCCATTAGGTCTGAAGTGTAGTTGAGTGTTTCCTGGCTGGACTTCGTGGCTCATACCTATAATCCCAACACTTGGGAGGTTGAGACAGGAGGATCGTTTGAGGCTAGTAGTTTACAAACAGGCTGTGCAACATAGTGAGACCCTGTCTTTACAAAAAAATGAGCCACACAGGACATGCCTGTAGTCACAGGTACTTGGGAGGCTAAGGCAGGAAGATCGCTTGAGCCCAGGACTTCAAGGCTGCAGCGTGCTATGATCGCACAACTGCACTCTAGTCGGGGCAAGTAAGACCCTGTCTCTTAAGAAAGGAAAAAAAAGTTCAGCATTTTCTTAATGATTTTCTATCTGGATGATGTATCTGTTGTTGAAAGTGGGATATTGAAGTCCCTTACTATTTTATATTATTTATTCTTTCAGATTCCCAAATATTTCCTTTATATATTTAGGTGCTCCAATGTTAGGTGGATATATATTTATAACTGTTTTATCTTCTTAATGAATTGACCCTTTTATTATGTAATTACTTTCTTTGTCTCTTGTGATGGTTTTGGACTTAAAGTCTATTTTGTATGATGTAAGAGTAGGTACTTCCTGTTCTTTTGGTTTCCATTTGCATGGAGTATATTTTTCTGACCCTTCACTTCCAGTCTGTGTGTATCTTTAAAGGTGAAGTGAATCTTCTGTAGGCAGTATATAGTTCAGTCTTGTGTTTTTTAATCCATTTAGCCACTCTGTGTCTTTTGATTGGCAAATATCCATTTTCATTTAAAGAAATTATTGATAAATAGAGATTTACTATTGCCATTTTGTTTGTTTTCTGGTTGTTTTATATATATTCCTTTGTTGCTCTCTTGTGGTCTTCCTTTGTGATTTGATGCTTTTCTGTAGTGGTATGCTTTGATTTATCTTTTATATACCTACTGTAGGTTTTTGCTTTATGGTTCTCATGAGGCTTACATAAAATATCTTATAATATACCAGTTTATTTAAAGCTGATAATTTCTGTCACCTACAAAAGCTCTGTACTTTTTTCTCCCTTTAGTATTACAAATTTTACAGTTTACATCTTTGTGTATTTATTTAAAAGGCTTTTTCCTTCTTTGATCTCAAAGAAGTAGACTCTTGTGCCTGTTAATAGGCAAGATACAGCCAGCTAACTCTTCTCTTCTACTCTCAGGTCAGAAACAATGTTTTCTTGTTGTTAATTAAAAACTAAATACTTATCAGAACAGATATAGTACATAAAAAATTGAGACAATACCAAATGCTGGTAGGGATATGGGGAAACTAGAGCTTTCACACAAATTGTCATTAGAAATGTAAAATGTTATAGCCACTCTAGAAAAAGTTTTGAAGTTTCTTAAAAAACTAAACATAGACCAGGCACAGTGGTTCACGCCTATAATCCTAGCCTTTTGGGAGGCTGAGGCAGGCGGATCACTTGAGGTCGGGTTCAAGACCAACCTGACCAACATGGCGAAACCCAGTCTCTACTAAAAACAAATGAATTAGCTGGGCGTGGTGGTGCATGCCTTAATCCCAGCTACTCGGGTGGCTGAGGCCAGAGAATTGCTTGAACCCAGGAGGTGGAGGTTGCAATGAGCTGAGATTGTACCACTGCACTTCAGCCTGGACAACAGAGTGAGACTTTGTCTCTTAAAAAAAAAAATTAAAACAAAACAAAAAACTATATTTACCATATGATCCAGCCGTTTTTCTCTTGGGCATTTAACAAAAACAGATGAAAACTGATGTACACACAAAAAGCTATACAAGAATGCAAGAATGTTAATAGCAGCTTTATTAGTAATAGCCAAAACCTGGTAGCAACCAAAGTGTCCTTAAATGCTTTAGGTGAATGATAAACAAGCTATGATACATCCATATGATAGAATATTACTGAGTGGCAAAAACGAACAAAGAATTGATTTACGAGTCTCAAAGGCATTATGCTGAGTGGAAAAAAGCCAATCTCAAGAGATCATATGGTGTATGATTTCATTTGTTTAACATAACATTCTCATTATAGTCATGGAGAATAAATTGGTGGTTGTCAGGGATTGGGGATGGGAGAGGGGGATCGTGTGGATGTGACTATAATGAGCAAGAAGATACTTGTGGTGACTCAATAGTTCTGTACTTTAATTGTGATAATAGTTGAATGAATATATAGGTATGATTAAATGTCATGGAATGATACACACACATTATACCAATGTTAATTTCATGGTTTTGGTATTATACCAGTTATGGAAGATGTAATAATTGGGGATAACTCAGGGAAGGATACATGGTCATCTGTAGTGTTTTTTTAACTTCTTATGAATCTATTTCAAAATAAAAATGTTTAAGAAACTTGAAATGCCAACCAAACTTCATAGTTAATAGATATAAATCTTTAGTGTTACTGGTTTTTTTAGGTTGTCATATATACATTTTAGGATGGAGAGAAAGAGAGGTTTATATACTTTATTAAAGGAAGAGTCTAATGCTTAACAATTGCTTAAGTTAAAGAGGAAAGTTTCATAATGGTATGGGATGCACTAGAATGTGTGAATGTCTCAACTATTTTTTATAAAGCATTGCGTGACTAAATGGATAAGAATTTAAGAAATATAAAATATTAACATTTTTGGTGGAGATAAAAGTTAAATTTTTGATACTTGTTTAAGGAATTTTTTTTTTAAAGCATTGTGAGCTCATCTGTGCTGTTAGCTGTAGATGCTTCTGTATATCATTGCAGGCCTTTCGTGTCCTGTCTGAACCAACTGGTATGCAATCCCCAAACTCTAAAGAATGTCCTAGGGCTTGGCAATGTTCAGATGTACCAGAACCTGCAGTCTGTGGGATAAGTAGAATCTGGGTTTTCAGATTGAAGAGAAGAAAGCGCATTGCAAGACGACTGGTTGATACTCTCAGGTAAGAAATAAAATGGATCTAGATGCAGAACCTTAGGTTCATAGCTTTCTTAGAATCTCTCGGCTCCGAGCTGTAAAGGGAAGGATATTGGTAAGATACTTCTGTATGAATACTATCAAAGTCAGGGTAAGGAAGGTATTGGCACTAGAAAAACAATGTTAGATGTACTCAGCCTTGGGCGCAACATTCCAAGTCTAAAACATACTGGCCCACTGCTTTTCAAACTACCTGTGCTAAAGGACTAGTTTAATTTGTCACAGACCAACAATAATAAAATAAAAATGGATTGCTAGAAAAAAAAGGAAAAACAGCATAGTTTGAAGTGAAAAAAAGGAAAAACAAAAAAAATATAAGCTTGAATTTTTATTAGACTTAGCAGATTGAAATTATGCTTCAATAAATATAACCTGTACAAAATAAAGGTTTGCATAATTACAGAAGCTGTACATGTTCATTGACAGTGACTAGGTAATTAAGACTTGCTATAACTCAAAAGCATAACTAAAAAACTGGATTTGTGAGACAATCCATAGAACAAGAGAAAATAGTTACAAATCATTTGTCAAAGGAGGGTCTGATACCCATAAAATAATTCTTAGGACACAATTAAATGAACTTAATTTAAAAATGGACAAAGAATTTCAGTAGACATGTCTCTAAAGATGAATTGCAAATGGTTAATTCAACATAAAAAGATGCTCAACATCTTTAGGTATCAGGGAAATCACAAAACAAAACCACAGTGTGATGCCACTTTATACCCAGTAGGATGACTGTAATAAAAAAACAGACAAGTGTTGGTGAAGTTGTAGAGGATACTGAAACCCTTGTACATTGCTGATAGGAATGTAAACTGGTACAGTTGGTGTGGAATACAATCTGACAATTTTTCAGAGTTAAACTGTTAATGTGACCTAGTAGTTCCACTCCTGGGTGTATACTCAAGAAAACACATCCCCACAAAACCTTGTACATGAAGGTTCATAGCAGCATTATTTACAAAAGCCAAAGGATAAATAATCCAATATGTGATTAATGAATAAATGTGGTGTATCGATAGAGTAATAACAACCGGATATTATCAAGCCGTAAAGGAAATTCTGGCTCACACTACAACGTGGAGGAACCTTGAAAACATTATGTTAATTGAAATAAGTCAGTTGCAAAAGATCACACATTGTGTGATTAATTTATATAAAATGTCCAGANGAGTGAAAGAAGCCAGTCATAAGATACCACACATTGGAAAACAGCATTGAGATGACATGTCCCAGAACTGGCAAATCCAGAGGCAGAAAGTAGATGTATAGTTTTCAGGGACTGAAGAAAGGTGAATGGATAGGAACTAATAATGAGTACAGGGTTTGGAATAATAAAAATGTTCTAGAATTAGATAGTGGTGGTGATTGGACAGTATTTGTTAACATACACAAGACTACTCAGTTGTACACTTTTAAAGGGTGAGGCTTATGGTATATGAGTTATATCTCAACCAAAAACGTTAGTCTTCATTTTTAGCTCCCATGTGCACAATTGAACTAACACCATTGCGGTTTAAAGTTTCCAATATCACAAATGAGCTTGTTTGCCAATTTACATAATACAGGTTATATGAATGAGTTTCACAAGACTTATTCTCTCAACTTCTACATATATTTCATTGTGGACAGATAATGTACAAACTGATAACCTCACTTGGAATAGTGTTATTCAAGCCTCTTGCATTCTGTGCCACTTTTAAAGAATGAATACCAAGACCACTATGGGAACCCAATCTTGGGCCATAGTCAACCACACCTACTTACCAAGGGGGGGATCAGTAGGAAAAAATGATATCTTAAAAAGATTTTTATTTGACAATTAGTTATGAAACACTTTTTTTTTTTTTTTTTTTCTGAGATGGAGCTTCACTATTGTTGCCCAGACTGGAGTGCAATGGCACGATCTCGGCTCACCACAACCTCTGCCTCCCGGGTTCATGCAATTCTCCTGCCTCAGCCTCCTGAGTAGCTGGGATTACAGACATTCGCCACCATGCCCAGCTAATTTTGTATTTTTAGTAGAGATGAGGTTTCTCCATATTGGTCAGGCTGGTCTTGAACTCCTTACCTCAGGTGATCTGCTCACCTTAACCTCCCAAAGTATAGGGATTACAGGCATGAGCCACTGTGCCTGGCTAAAATACTTCTTTTCTATGTTTTATATTAAATAGATACATAAATTTGGTATGAGGAGTACCAGTATGTAACCTAGTTGTATCATATTATGTATTTAATTATAGTTAATATATTAGAAGGTTATGTCTTCTAATTGAATCAAATTCTTTAATTTTTTATTCTGAAATAATTTCAAACTTACAAAAGAGCAGCAAGAATAGTAAGACTTTGTCAAGATCCATTCAGTTCAACATTTACCTCATTTGCTTTACCATTCTGTGTTTAGATAAGCTTTCTGAATTATTTCAAAGTAAGTTACATATATTATGCCCCTTTACCCCTTCATGCATCAGTGTGTATTTCTTGAGAACAAGAATATATTATATTTGATACAGTTATCACATTTGGGAAATGTAATATTGATATAATGCTTTTATCTGACAGTCCATATTTCACTTTTGTGTGTTGTCTCAAATGTCCTTCGTGGCATTTTGTTTTTCTGCCCAGTGACTCATACTGCATTTAGTTGTCACATCTCTTTAGTCTTTGTTTTCCCTAATCTGGAAAAGTTTCTTAGCCTTTTGACATTGAAGAATTTGAAGAGTGCAGGCCAGTTATTTTATGCAATATCCCTCAATTTTGATTCTCTTTTTTTTTTTTTTCTTTCATAAACAAGTTGTGGGAGATGTTAAATTAACCATTTCCTTGTTACTTTTAATCCTAAGGTGGGCAAGATCAAGGAGAGTTTAGTCAAAATGCAAATGATTTTTGCCTTCTTAAAACTCTGAGTGCATGTTTTCTTTGAAGAAAATATAGTTACTGGTTAAAATTGGTGATTTTTTTGTTTGTTCTAATTATCTGTACTTTTAATTAGCAATATGATCTTATATTAGTTGCTCTTTACCACGGATATCCTAGAGTTAGGTGGATGGTTCCCTTTGCCTCTCAGCAGAATTTTTTCTGGACCTTAGTTTTCTCGTCTTTGAAATGATATCATTAGACTTCTTTCTCTAAAATATAAGGCATTTTTTCACTTACTAAAAATAAGTTTGCTTTAAGTCAAGAGTATTAAACTGCTCATGTAAATTAGAATGTTAAGTTGCTTCCATTATTAAATCATCTTTTCCTCTTTTAGGAATTGCTTCATGTTTGGCTGTTTTCTGAGCACTGATGAAATAGCATTTTCTGACCCGACACCAGATGGCAAGTTATTTGCAACCAAGTACTGCAACACACCTAATTTTCTTGTGTATAATTTTAATAGTTAAAGCTGATTTCAGTTATAAAGCAGTTACTATCTGGATAAGTTCAGAGAGATCTTTATTATAAAATATAAACTTTTAATATTAAAAAAAATACCAAAACTCAGTTATGCACACAGACACACATACACACATATCACAGTTTTGTTCCTTATGAGTTGAAAAGTCAGGAATTAAATTTGTTGAAAATTATCTGGGATTCAAAGGAAGGAAAAATCTTCGGGTGATTTACTGATTAGCACTCTGAATTGTTAATTACAATTACACTCTGAAATTTTGTAGGTATAATTGGAAAATTACTTGACTGTTATGTAAGAGCATTGACAAAGGAAAGTGATTTTTGTCTAGAAATGTGACCTGGTCTTCTATAAAACACACTGTTAGACCAGGATTATCTAATGCCCCATCAGAAGCAAAGAGGCAAATTTACACTTGGGCAAGTAATTTCTATGCTCAATTTGTAAAAGGAATTCCTGAATGTTTTTTTTTAATAGAGGCAGGGGTCTCATTATGTTTTCCAAGCTGGAACTTTTGGGCTCAAGCGATCCTCCAAAAGTGCTGGGATTACAGTCATGGCCCACCGTGCCCAGCATCATTCCTGACTTTTCTATATGAAGTCTTTACTTGGTAGGCACTCATCTGTACTAACTCAGTTTGAGTATCTTTGGAAAATGTTTAGAATTTATTTTTTGTAACAAGAAAAAATGGTAAGGATTAATATTATCCTATTTGCATTTCCGTAGAGCAGAATTCTATAGCTTAATGTTTAATCTTTTTGAAAATAAAATTACATGTTCATCTGTCAGATTTAAAATTATACTTAATAATTGCACTATTTTATTTTTTTGTTTGGAAATATTGGTAGTACTGCTTTAGGAACTTATTACTGGCAATTGATGTCATTAACAAAATGCCTAGTTGGAGTAGATGATACATTTGGCCTTATTTTCTAATTTTTTGCTTATTTAAAATGCACCTTACTTGTTCTATATGGCAAAAGTCTTTACAAAATATATGGTTATAGAACCAAGGTTAGTAAATATACATACGCTGGTGGATCAGAGACCATGACTCTGTTTAAATACAATGAAATGTTCGCACATTTTACTTGTATAATCCTTGGATACTTTAAAAAGCAAAACATTATTCAAATTGTTCTGATTCTAAGAAATCATTCAACTGCTAGCAATAAGACTCTAGGCAAGTTGTTTTATAGATTGTAATTATACATAGAACTATTAATCTGCTTTCATTTTATTTGCCTATAAGTTAACATGGTTCCAAAATTTAAAAGCCTGGGTTCCCAAAAGAATGTGGAAGTGTTAAAATGTGTGTAATTATGCAAACATTTTAATGCTGTTTTCTGCACTTCTGTTTATTTTTTTTTATTTTATTTAAAAATTTTAATTAGCATTTTGCTTGCTTAATGGTTTTGTCATCAATTAAAATTATTTAATAGTTTATTTTATACAACTAAATCTGATTTTTTAAATTATACTTTATCATAAAAATAATATATGTTAAAAAAATTCATATACAGAAATAGAGATTGCCAAAAGAAAAGGCTTCCCATTATCCTGCTTTGGATGTAGTGTGTATTACTTTAGATTAACTAAATACATATGCAGTTATTTTGCATCTTGCTTCACTTCAGTATGTCTTAGATATGTTGTATTTCAGGAACTTTTTATATTTTAAATATAGCATGATTTGCTGTTGATACTGTTGGCTTGATTGGGTGGATTTTTTGTTTTCGTTTAACACATACAAGAAGCAAGTGCACTGAGAAGATCTCAAAGCAACAATACCCCAATGACAGTGAGCACACCTACCACCCAGATCTTGGTTGGTTACTTTCTTTTTTCCCCACCCTAGGCTGAAGTGCAGTGGTACAGACATGGCTCACTGCAGCCTTAACCTCCCAGGTTCAAGTGATCCTCCCACCTCAGTCCCCTGAGTAGCTGGGACTACAGGTGCGTGCCACCACTCCCAGTTAATCTGTGTATTTTTGGTAGAGACATAGTTTCACCATGGTGCCCAACTGGTCCTTAAGCTCCTGAGCTCAAGCAGTCCTCCCATGGTGCTGGGATTATAGGTGTGAGCCACCGCACCCAGCCAGATTTTGCTTACTAATACTTTCCTCCACAAAAGGACCTGGGGCTCTTTGGAGAACTGGCTCATTATAGGGATAGGGCAATGCATGTACAAGATGAGCCTAAATCATCTTGTACAGCAGTCCCCCCATTCTTACCTGCAATTTCGTTTCCCACAGTTTGTTACCAAAAATATTACATGGAAGTTTCTGGAAGTAAGGAATTCATAAGTTTTAAATTCTCACTATTCAGAGTAGTCACAATGGGTGATAAGTGCTCAGTTAAGATGGAAAAGGCATTAAATTTGTGGGCAGAAGACAAGCACAGAAACATTCCGATTGAGAGCAATCAAGTTCAGTACTGTCTGGTTTCAGGCATCCTCCTGGGGATCTTTGTCATAATTTGTGCCCATATATATGTATGTCTATTTCTGCTGTTTATTCTTACTAGTCTTAAAGGTTTTATTTATGCCAATACCAGACTGTTATTGTAATATTAATGTTTCCTATAATATTAGTACATGGTCCCACCCTTTTTTTTCTTCAGGAATATTTTGTCTATTCTTGGACTTTGCGTTTCCATATACATTTTAGAATCAATTTATTCCATAGAAAGCCACTAACAACAAAAAAGCCTGTTGGGATTTTATTGGAATTCCAACAGATCTATAGATCAACTTGAGAGAACTGATTTTTAGAGTTGGTCAGATATTTGATACTGTTTTTTCGAGGTGGAGTTTGGCTCTTTCTGCCTGGGCTGGAGTGCAATGGCACATTCTCGGCTCACTGCAACCTCTGCCTCCCAGGTTCAAGCGATTCTTCTGCCTCAGCCTCCCAAGTAGCTGGGATTACAGGTGCATGCCACCACGCCCAGCTAATTTGGAATTTTACTAGAGACGGATTTCACCATGTTGGCCAGGCTGGTCTTGAACGCCCGACCTCCAGTAATCCACCCACCTCAGCCTCCCAAAGTGCTGAGATTATAGGTGTGAGCTACCATGCCAGGCCCATACTTTTTTTAAGCCTTTTGAAAAAGTGTTTTAAGTTACATCTTGTTTGCTGATACATAAATACAACTTTTATGTTTTGACTTTGCATTCAGCAACCTTTCTAAACTTAATTCTATCTATTTTTATATATGTAATTATCTGTGAATGAGTTTTATTTCTTTTAGAATCTTACAGCTTTTTTGTTCTTATAGTATTGCATTTCTAAGATTGCCAGTCTAGTACAGTGTTGAATAAAAGCAATGGTAGGGATATTTTTGTTTCATTGCTAATATAGGTAAAGTTTTCAACATTTTACTATTAAATATTAAATATGAAGTTTACTATAGCTTTTTTGTAGATAACTTTCTAATATTAAGGAAGTTCCTCTATTTCTAGGTTTCTAGGAGGCTCTCAAATATCTTGAACAAATAGATACTCAGATTTTATACAAAGTATTTCTTTGATATTTGGAGATGATTTTTTCTTCATTGTTAATATGGCAATTACATTGTTCTTTGAATGTTAAAGCAGTCTAGCCTTCCTGAAGTAAATAAACCAAACCTAATTTGGTCTTGATGTTTTTCTTTTTTATGTTACTGACTTGTTAACTAAATTTTTTTTTTTTTTTTAGGATTTTTCATGTGTTCATGAATAATATTGGGTATCTATAGGATGTTTAGTTTTGCTTTTGTTTTTATTTTCATTCATGACATGTCTTTTTTCTCCATAGATAAATTTTGCCAAGGAGTTTATCAATTTTGTTAGTATTTTTAAAGATTGGCATTGTTAATTCTATCACAGGTTTGTATCTTCTGTAAGTTTTGTTTTTTTTAATTTCTTTCTCCCCTCCCCGAAGGGAGGTACTGTGGTCTGAATGTGTGCCACCAAAATTCATAGGTTGAAACCCTAACCCCCAAGATGATGTAATACCTTCATAAGTGGTGCCTTAGGAAGGTGAATGGGTCATGATGGTGGAAGGAACCCTTAAGGATTAGTGCCCTTTAATTCAAAGAAATGTAAAGGAAAAAAGAATTAGCACCCTTTTAAGAGGGTGGGGGAGCTCCCTTGCTCCTTCCACCATGTGAGGACACAGCCAGAAGGTACCTTCTGTGAGGATGCCCTCACTAGATACTACCTTGATCTTGAACTTCCCAGGCTCCAGAACTATGAGAAATAAATTTCTGTGGTTTACGTGGCACCTAGTTTATGGTATTTTTGTTACAGTAGACTAAGACGGGAGTCTTGCTTTGTTTTTCCTAAATTCTTACCTGATACATATAGCATTTGTTATATATAGATTTTTTTATATAGCATTTGTGTAGTTTAAAATCCTTTCTAATTTTTATTCTAATCAACAGATAGTAGAAGATTAAATAGGTTCCAGGAGACATGAAAGAATGATCTTCAGCATTTCTCAAGCAGCTGCTGATTATCTCCTTTTATGGAGGCATAACAAGCTCCTGGAGGCCTTCTGCAGATTCTGAAGGGAAAGATTTTCTGGGAGGTGAGAAAGCTACTTGAGAGAAGGCTATTTTGATTTACTAATTAATTCAGTGAAAAGGTAGTCCCGGGCATGGTGGCTCACGTGAGGCCTGTAATCCCAGCAGTTTAAGAGACCTAGACAGAGGGTTGCTCAAGAGTTACCAGCCTGAGCAACTTGGTGAAACCTTCTCTATAAAGAATAGAAAATAAAATTAGGTGTGGTGGCACACACCTATAGTCCCTGCTAGTCGAGGTGGGGGCAGAGGTGTGAGGATCACGTGAGCCTGGGAGATCGAGGCTGCAGTGAGCCATGATTGCCCCACTGTACTCCAGCCTGGGTGACAAAGCAAAACCCTATCTTAAAAAAAAAAAAAACACAAACAGCCCTCAGCCAAGCCACGTTTTTCTTTTGAGAATGAGGCAAATGTCCAAAAAGATAACATCTGAGACTTAAAGAGCAAGTTCTAGAACAAGAATTAAAAAAAAAAAATTCCAGTTGGTAGAAGATTGTCTGCAATCTTGTGTTAAGGATTTCTAGGACCTTAACCAGACTCAAGGGGCAGTGCATGCTGGGTTTATTGTATAATGTCTGCCATAAACAAGGGCTATGAATTTGCTGGCCTTGTCCTTGGTATTAGTTTATTCCTATTCGATATCCCAACTATCGGAACTGGAAACAAATTTCTCAATGAAAAGCAATGGCTTATGTGTTAAAGATCCAATTCAAGAAAGATCCAATTCCTGCTTTTTATGTTTTAAAAGCAGCAACTGCTATTACTGGTAAGAAAAGAATGGCCTGGAGAAACTACTCTGTTGGCTTGGCAAAAAAGAATGACTCAATATACATGTCAGAGTAAGGATAAGAGACCCTATTGAGTATCAGGATGCAAAATTATACATATGTTTTTCTCTAGATTAAGACAACTTCCAATTTGTCACCTTAATATTTTGATGGGAAAATACGCGAATTAATGATGTGTGTACTGTTTCTTAGTACAATCTTACACTAACAGGTGTTCAGTGATTTCTAGGCACTTTTTTTTTCTTATTTTTAAATTTTATTTCAAAAATATAATACAGAGTAACATGAGACCCCTGTGACTACCATTCAGCTATAACAAATTAGCATTGCACCCTATTTTTCTTGATCAAATGTTGTTGTTATAAACCATGAAGATACCATTTAAGCCCAGTCCCTCCATTCCACACAGCCCCTCCCCCTGCTAACCATTATCCTGAATTTTGGTATGTGTCTCTTAAATTCAGGGTTTTTTTTTTTTTTTTTT